TATTAATCAATCAGTGTGAGATATCATCATGCCATTTCATTTGCTTTTTTGATTACAATTTTCGGTGTCAAGTAGATAACATACTGTGATCTGTTCGATTTAGAGGAAACACTAATCGTGTAATCGGAAAAAAGACAAATTTTGATGAAATGATGATCTGTTTTGTCATCCGATCTAATTTTAAGACGTTAGTATTGATATTTTAATTAACTTAATATAGCAGGAATAAAAATAGAATGCCAAAATATCTGTTAGGTAAGTGCTGCATTCATAAAGTGAACGATGAGTAAATATTTGAGAAGTGTGATTTCCTGCACTTTTATTTCTTCGTAAGAGTCTAACACCTAATATTGTATGAAGAACCACTTGATTGTTAAATCCATATAATAAAATAATTAGAAGCGTAGACCATTCAGGGTGTTTTCTTCAGACAGTGAAATAGGCTGAATTGGAGGATGATGACTAGCAGTGGATTCCAGGATGCACATTTCGTCCTATTTGGGCCTCATCATCTGTATGTGTCTGCATTGCCCAGTAAGTGATGGTGTTCCCCACAGAGGTCCGAACCCAGTAACCATAGTTCCAAACTCTATTACGTTATCCACTAGACCATTTGGGCACTATGGGTGGGTTTGAGCCTCAGTGGGGCCACCTTAACTCACTGGGGAATGCAGGTACACCAAGATGACAAGTCCCAAGCAGGACGAAACGCGCGTTCTGGATTCCACTGCTTGTCACTATCCATCAGTTGGCTTCAAGGTACATGATTAGACATAGTCGAAGCACCTGCACAAGGAGCCGACATGTCACCCTGAGATCAAGCAATTCGGTCCAATCAGTCAACGGAAAAATCGAAAGTGAATTAAAGTGAAATAGGCTTATTGTGTGATGTAATGGGAATAACGCCTTCTGTCTGTAAATATATTTTATGATGCTATTGAGTTTATTCTGTCATTGAATCCCACTTAGTTCACATTGCTGTATTTTGATAAACATTTTGATATAAACATAACCCTATCTTGAGGAAAGATTTCGACGCGAACATGTATTAGAAAGAGAACTAATAGAGACCGGAAGTCATTGGGTGGTTCTTACCTTGCAGTTTGAATTTGCTCAGTAGTTCTCACCCATAATTCCAACAAGGGGGGCATCTGGGACCTTCATATCAATTTTTCAAAATTTAATGATGTATGGATTTTAAATTCGACTCTAAATGGTGATTATCTGTTATCTTTACTGACTTAGCCGCCATAATTGGTCAGTACTTTGCATAGTTCCTAATAAGCGCTGCACGAGTGACACTGTTCACTAATCAATCGACTGTAAACTTGAATTACTCATTGATGATGTTTCTGATTGCAGCACTGAGTGATGAGGGATATAATTCCCTTCAGGGTTAGAAATACACATTTTTAACAATTGTCAGCGAGCATGAAACCTACGTACAGGGTGATCTGATTCAACACTGTGTTATACTAACTGATAAGGGCTTCGCTAGTTGTTCTTCTCATGCGGAAATTTATCTACTGAATATTTCAGTCCTCAGGTATTTTGAAGACATCTTAAGGCTAAGAAAAACTACCAGCCTACTTTAGGGTAGGCATTTCATGTTCTTCATTGTGAGCATGCTAAAACCTTTAAAGAGATTTTGTATCTTCCTATTCGATATAGTGATATGAGGTGGAGAAAATTAAATCCCTGCATAGAAATACATTGTTCTATGCTTGTAATGTTTATCTATGGAAAGTAAGATTAAGAAAGTTATTTTGTTATTCTACAAAACAGCTATGAAAAAGAAGAATTCCACCTAAAATAGTTTTCGAAATGTTGACTACGAAAATATCCATCTACTACCAGGTATCAGTGGAATCAAAACTAACATTTGGAAGTGAATATGTATTGCTCCCCAGTAACTAACTACGTAATAAGATTGCCTGCAGTTCCAGTGAGAAGTTTTGACCATTGGGTTCTACCAGATCGAATGTGAGGCTAAATAATCTGGTGGTGATATCGACTGCCATTGATGCTAAAATTCACGAATGGATACGGGTTAGAATTCATGGATCAATGGATTCAGTCCTAGTGGCAGAATACTGAATGCATTTGCCTCAAAAATGGAAGATTCTGGGTTCGATCCATGATGGGTTCATTGTTGTGTTCTGATGAGGAATCTGACTTTTAATGATTCTCTAACTGGAATCAGTTCGTAATTGAAATTGACACCAGCGAAATCCCTACAAAGTAACAAGGGAAAATTAAAAGAAATCAATAAGAGCTTTATTACCATGTTATTTTTCATAAATATCGAGATCTAGAACCTTTCAGCAAGAGTATTTTTCATTAGACTGGTCGAAACCAGTGTTATTATGACTACAAGGATGAATGAAGCAATAGAGAAGATGTTTTACTTCAGGTGGATGTTTCTAGTGTAGTTTTGTTCGCTTAGCTGAGTGTTTTAATAGAGGAGGTTTCATTGTCTTTCTCGACAGCATCTTCAGTGTCTAATTCAGTGTGAAGTGAATTATTTTGAACTCTAAATAGATGATATAACTGTCTATTCCGATGACCTTAACATTGGCTAGCAGGTTTCCAATTTGTTCTCACCCTTATGTTAATTTTTATTGGCGTCAATCATTTCCTTGACCTGATATTTGATTTTGTTTCTCTGTGTGACTTATTCTTTATTGATTGATAAATTTGTTATGTGTGAGTGGACGTATCTGTTGAGTGAACACCGACTGGATCACCAGGTTTTTAAGAATTTTATAACATTCATAGTATCTCTGCTGTTTAAATTTTCAAATTTTGAAGACGTATATATATCATGACTTTCGACGGCTAATCTATGTTCTCATATGGGAGGTCCAAGTGGACATCATCTCTGGTCAAAAGAGTGTATTTCACTGTTAATGCCATTTATTTCGTAGATAGTGTCAACTTTGTCTTCTTTTGTAACTGAAGTCTTTTAGCCTGCATAGTAATGAATGAAGCGATTGTGCTGGTTTGCACGTAGTATGTATTCCTAATGATTTTGCCATTCCAGCAGTTATTTCAAATAGAGTAGTTTCCAAGAAGTGTAGCTCTATTTTCTCATAATTTGAGTACAAACATCTTTAGATAAAGTTTAAAGGGTATCAATATTTTTTGAAGACATCGAAGAGACATTTCGCCTCTTTTTACCTTTGGAATAGAGGAGTGATAAATTTGCGAAGTTTCATATTCATTCTCATGAAATTCCTAATGTAGAAGGTCTCACTTATCTTATCTTCTCCGATTCTTTTAAATCCTTGACGAGATTTTAGTCTATAAAACGCTGTTTTGCTTTAAAGTATTTCATTATTTAATTTACAATTTAGCATATTTCCAAGTGATGGTCTGCAGAGATTTGATTGTTTACAAGTTTGATCACAGACTGACATTAGCTGGAGAACCATTTGAAAAACAAAGAAGTACTGGGCAGCTGTTTCAACTTAGTCTAGGACTCTTTAGTGGTATGCACCCATCAAAGGGGTTTGAACCCAGGACCTTAAGGTAGCAAGCCAAGCTAGTTGACTGTTCAACCCCTGTGACGGATCACTAATCTTAACCTCTTCGAACTAATGGTATGTATAGCACAACGATCAGCCAGTTTTATAGGCGAGTAACTGTTCTCTTTTCCGGTCACGTCTAATCCCTGGAATCTCAGGTATTTTTCTGTGCAGAGTTAGTCACTGGTAAACTTAAGAATAACCATTGTCTCACCATTGTCTCCCGTTTTACAATATTTGGTAATCGAATTCAGCCTAGCACGTTTGTCACACAAATACGACTATTTATTTTGACACCCCATGACTAATCTGTTATTCTACGTTAAAAATGTATCTGCCGCATAAATGACCTTTAATGTAACGACAGCAACAACTGTGCTTCGGTGGCACAGTGGTTAGGACTCTCGCCGACCATGCACATGGTCCGGGGTTCAATCCGCTGCCGGAGCACACCCGATATCTATGGTCGGCGTGAATTTGGGCTACCGATATCCATGCTGAAAATGCCACACTTTTACTGAAAATACGGTGTAGAATCAAGCTGTAAATCAAACAAAAATATTTTATAATTGTAAGAACCTGAAGAGAAATTACTGAAAAGGATATTCTTCGTTCAGATTGACTTTTAAGAATAACTATCAATTGTTGATCAGTTGAAGATTCCTGGGCAACACCACCAACAGCAACAACAACAACAGACAACAATCAGCATAAATGGAAGGAACCTGAAAGAAACAACCTCTTTTACCTACCTGGGAAGCATCGTTTCAACTACAGGCGGAACTGACGAGGATATCAAAGCAAGAATCGGAAAAGCAAGACAAGCTTTTACTACTCTCAAGTCTGTGTGGAGGTCAACAGCACTCAGCATGGAAATGAAAATGAGATCCGGATTTTCAACTCCAATGTGAAGTCAGTGCTACTATACGGATCAGAGGCTTGCACTGCGCGTCATAAAGAGCATCTCCAACAAACTACAGACCTTCATTAGTAGTTGTCTTCGCTCAATACTCAAGATCAGATGGCCGGCCAGAAAAGATCAGCAACAGGGATCTTTGGGAACGAACCAACACAGCAGGAACCGATTGTGAAACAAATAGGCAGGAAGAAATGGAGATGGATTGGCCGTACTCTGAGGAAATCATCAAGTGACATCACTAGACAAACCATCGCTCTAGTGGAACCCGAAAGGGAAGCGGTGAGTGGGTCGTCAGTGCGAGGGTGACTTGGAGGAGGTCATGTGAAGAGGAGATGAAAACTTGTGGGCAGACTTGGAGCCAGGTGAAGACTCTAGCAGAGAACCGGACGTAATGGAGACACACTACTGAAGTCCTATGTTCCTCTAGGAATCAAAGGAAACAATAATAATAATAACCAAATGTTGATTTGCAAGGATTTGATTGGATCCAGGTTTGATATATGTATATGTATATTTCTTGCATTTTTAAGCTTATTTTATTCTTCTCATTTTAGACCAAGAAATAAAATTGATTTATTTGTGAAAAAGTCACATTATCCTTCATATTTACCCAACAATAATAATATGACATCAAAAATGGATGAAGCTAATGCTGGCCTTATTAACAAACAACAACAACAACAATCACGGGTAAAAACTCGACCACCACCGGGGAAATGTACACTAGCTAGAAAACGATTAAGACAAATATTCAATATGCGAAAATATTATTTATCAATCATTGGATTAACTGGTTTTGAAGCGCTATTAGTATTATGCAGAGTTATACTGGAAACAGAATCTCTACGATTTCCTGTAAGTAATGCGTTTAAAAAAAGTTATTTTGAGTATGCTATTTAATCCCAAAGTAATTTACTGCTATTCTTGTAATGAAATTTTAAAGTGATTCCTCCATTGAAAGATGAAGTACCCTAGACTAGCTGCTTCTAATTGTATTTACCAATTTCACTGCACCTGTGGAGCGAGTTATATTGACCGTTGCTCTAGGAACTTGATTTTTCGTGCTTGCTCGGGAACATCTACCTGTGTGGTTCGATAAAGGTGTAGTTAGAAGCATAAATAGCTCCATATTAGAACACCTGGTTCAAACTGGCAACAAAGTCAATATTGAAGAGTCCTTCTTTATCATTTATCGAGTATCAAACAAATTGCCAAAAACCATCTAGGTACCGCATACTCCAAACAGCAAAGGCTATTGCGATTCGTATGAGACAACCGGTGCCCTGTGTGCAGAAGAAATAGGTCCAATCACTGTTACTGCCTGGGCCTGTTTTGGAGTTTGCAAATTCGTAAATACCTTATTACATCGGCCCTTTTGTTATGGCCCTCGATCCCGTACATATAAATTCCCCTACCCCTTGTCATTACATTTGAATTAACTAACCTTTTTTCTTATTTAAACGTAGTGGTTAACTTACACACCGACACGCATGCAACACACATAAATTTCAACCCCAAAAACTCTTTTTCTCGACCCCCGTCCTCGACATGATCACTCATCCATCTGAAGTTTATAATCAATATGAATGGACCTTAATATGAACATGACTCATGAGAAATTATTACTGTACATTCGTTGTCATTCAGAATCATTTACTTTGTAACATTGGTAGAAGTTAGAATTCATCAGACATTGAATCGGGTCCCAGTGGCTGAATGGTACACGAGCTTGCCTTGTAACCGGAAGCTCCTGGGTTCGAACTGCAGTGGGTGCTTACTGCCGATGATTCCCAAACTAGGATGAAACAGCAGCTGCCCAGTACTCCTTGGTTTTCAATGGTTCTTTAACTGATATCAATCCGTGATCAACTCGTTAAAACAAAACTAATCCTTACAAACCAACTGTAGAAAAAACATTGGTGTTCAGTTTAGTATAAAAATTTTACATATTACCACATACATATAATTTGGAACATAATCTATTAACAATCTAATTGTAAATAACTTTTGGAATTCCGATGTAAATAATTCGATGTTACTCTCTTTTTAAAAACCACTAATGTTGTTAATAACAATCATTCTGTCATTATAATGGATATATAACTGTAGAACCTGATGAAGAGAAGGTTGTCGAAAAGAACATCTTTGTTCTATAATCAATCTTTTGAAATTTCGAATGGGCATCTTTAATCAAATAAAATTTTAAAGTGTTAGTTTGTTGGGATTTGATTGGTTTCACATTTCATCGTAGATTTACATCAGCTACAGGCGACAGCACGGATGAGTATGTAAAAAGCAGAATTGGAGAAGCAAGAGAGATCTTCATTTATCTGAAGAAACCGGTGTGGAAATCTTCTGTTGTCACTCAGAATAAAGAACAAGATACAAATTTTCAACCCCAATATCAAGTCGATCAATGCTTCTAAGTGAGCAAGAGGCTTGACATGTCACCAAAAACATTTCCAGCAGCCTTCTGTAGACGTTCATCAACAACTATCTTCACTTCATACTGAATATTAGACAGTCAGAAAGGATTAGTCACACGAAACTCTGACAACGAACCAACAAAGAACCTATTGCCCAACATATATGCTCAAGAAAATGGAGTTGGATTGGGCACACATTGAGGAGACGACTGAGTGACTTCGCGAGCCGGGTTTACCTTCTAGTGAAAGGCGAATGGAGAACGACAAATTGTGAATCCGAGGCTGATATGTAGGAGGTTTTGTGACGAGGAGATGGGGGCCTATAGGCAATTATAGAGCCAACAGAAAAACTGCAAATAACAGGATGAAATGGAAATGTGCTTTTGAAGCTCTCTGCTCCACTTGGAACACGAGGAAACAATAATGTAATATAATGGAGAACCATTGAAAATTAAGGAATACTGTTCAGCTGTTTCTTTCTAGTCCTAAGATCTTCAGGTTACAAGGTGAGCTTTCCGACCATTCAACCCCTCGAACGGAATACAATGGCTGACCCATGAATTTTAAATCTTGTTAGTTCACGATATTTTTTGTCCCACCGCCAACTAACCTCACCAGTAAGTATTTGTAAAGGTATTTTGCATCAAAATTTCGAAGAGCTGCGCATTTATTTTTGTTAATCTCACTAATTGAAAACGCTGTTTCATATTGAACTCAAGACCAACTTAAAATATACATTAAAGCTAGTTGAGTCTATGCTCTGCTGTGTATCTCTGAGGCTTCCTCCTTATCACTGATGTTATACCTTAAAAGATTGCACACGTGTTTTTGAAATAAAGCCGATATGTTCCTGCAGGTTAGAAGTAAGAATGACCAATAACGAATGCAGTTCTTTATTTTTGTTCTAGCCGTGGCTGAAACATTACTAGTGCTATCTTATTTTATTGAATATATATAGAAGACCCAAGTGCACGATACACGAGTGTAATTAATATATCACTTAGAGGACATGAAAGGCATTGCTCGTGTGATACAAATGTCAATAAATGACGACAAGAGATGGCGTATCTAAGGTCGCTGAATATTGACTGGTACAACATATAATGTCGAAGAACATATTAGTCAAGTGAAATAATTACACACTGTAATTTCCTGTACAGTATTACCTACATGGATAACCGGTTTAGGATAGAATTAGCAGGTGATGACAGAATGAAATTCCTGAAGTTTGAGTGTGAGATGTCTAGACTTATGGAGTCTAATTAGTCTAATGTGACAGGGAATAACTGTGATAATTTAAGTAGGAATAAGAGATATGAGAACTTGTAGGTTATTAGATTACGATTCAATGGCTAAATGTTATTGGTGTCACTTGATGACCTGAAGGTCCAGGCTTCAATCTCCAATGCGGTAGAGAACGCATAACACTGTTGTAGAATATATTCAGAACAGAATTTTCCTTTAATTGTTAAATGTTAGAATCGACTGGCACTATTATGCATAGTGGATAATTCTGGTAGTCATCTATGTTCTCGGTAGTGGTATCGTCTCACTTTCGCCAAGCAGAGTGTCTCGCTAAAAATACAGGGGTAGCATATACTCCTAGGAATCAGTGGCATACGTGGTATGCGACATTTCTGTTTGTTCTTTTAAAGCTATTTATGCAGTGAAGGAGATGACATATTGTGATATGAATAAGAAAAATCAATAGTTTCAATCTCTTCTCAGACTACTGGTTGTATTCTAAATCACCTTGATTTAAAGTGGGACGAAATTGTTATGGGATGGATGGGCGGATAAAGGACACAAAATGTTGGCCACCTTTCAGCAAGACTTCAAATCTTACATATTAAATCAGTACTGAAAGTTATAGTATCAGTTTCGATTTATTATCAACGTAAATCTGTGTAGTGTACAGAAGTGAGCGTGAAAGGATGCTCGTAGATGGCGTTGGTTGCCGGAGACGCTTCATCGCTAATTTAAAGAAATTAAAATACAGATCATTGGATTCAGACCCAACAGCTAACTGATTAAGGAGCTCGCAAAGTAACCTGAACATCCTTCAAGAGAACCCTGGTAGAGTCGTGGTTGCACCTTCCATATTAATTTGTTCATTAGATATATCACACAGGGAAACAGTATTATTATTTGCTGGATGACGAAGTTTTGAACACAATTTTTGTTCATAATCATATCAGTTATACTCACACAACTTCGAAACTTGAGTTTTATAGTTTTCTTTGTTCTCTCCTATTTGTCGTTCGGGTAGTAGAATTCTCTAGATGTCTGGGACAGGTATTGAATCATTCCTATTACACGTGTTTGCAGTTGATTCGATAAATAAAGCTGTTATTATCAATCACTCCCTATACCCTGTTGCATTAGATATATTAGATTTTGAAACGTTCATCTTATCCCATCCTATTGTATAGTTGTGTGCACTTTCATGTAGTGCCATAGCTGAACTATTCTCAAGATTCTTTATCTATCCGGTCACAATCTAGATTTTGCCAGGTTTTTGTGCTCCACTACTTTGACTGACCCTGTTCTACTGTTTTGACCCATGTATTTTACTTGACAAACATTGTAGGGTATTATATATACTAAACTGTTTTGTTTAACTGGCTCCATAGCTCCCTTTAACCGATAAAGCATTTTTGTTATTGAGTTTGTGGATTAGAATGCCACTTTTATTCCTGCATTGTTGAGAATTCTCCTTAAGGTTTCCGAGGTTCCTTCTTTGTATCGAAGTACTACTGATTATTTATATTCCATATTGCTAGTGTTGTCATTATTCTGAGCAGTTTGTTGCATTCGTAATTAATATTAAAATCACTACCATTATTATTAATCTTATTTTACATTTTCCCATATAATTCCTGATTAATTTATCAGGGTAATTATTAAGTTTCAAAGCTTCTCCTTTATGCCTCACTTCCTGTCTTAGACTCTCCTTAGTACTACTTAGTTTTTTTGCCTTATCACTTAAACACTTCACCAATCCTATTTTAACTGACATAGGGTGGGATGATCGGAAATCAAAATATCGGTTCGAATGTTTGGCTTTCCTGTAAACACTAGTGTTTAACTTCCATCTTCCTTCCTTTTTGTGCTACAATCTAACACTGGGAGCTTCCCTTCCTGATTTTCCAATTCGAAAAATCTTTTCATGTCCCGTGTTCTAAGTACGGTGAACGTGTCATCTACATACCTCCACCATACTTTTGGAGGGGATCTGAACGTTTCAATCGATAAGTTTTCCCACCTATCCACGATTGATTCGACGTATATTATTTTTTAATATACAAAATCGTTCATAGACTGCTTAAAAAGACGTGAGCTGGTTACTGAAATCTCACTGGTGCTATAATAGTCGACTGCAGTAGATCATGCGTCAGTGATTCCCTAGTAGAATACCCGCCAATAACTCATATGGCCCACGGTTCGATTGCAGGCCAAAGTTATTTTAAACCTCACTTAGACGGTAGTAGGCGAAGTGACGAAGGAAGGTTAGGCTGGTAAACATACTCTGTATAAACGACAACATCATTGCTACTTCAAATTCGAACCTCACTCAGTACACAAATGCATACGGATTAAAAAGCTGCATATTTCACTCCAGTTTCTTTTCTTTCATCATTCACAATCACAATTAAGAAATCAAATATTTGCAACAATAACTTACTCAGATACACTTCTTTATCGATTCTTTTCTCAAAATATCTTTCAGACGATCACATGAGTAAACACAACTGCCGTAAAAGACATAATTATCTCTAAAGCATTACATACATTCATCATTGAGATGATTAGACAGACACACGGATCATACAATCTGTTGTAAGTTATAGTCGTAACTCAAGTAAAAGTCTTCCATGAAAATATGCAATCTGTGAAGGTCAAATGAAAAAACAAACAAACAAGAGTTTTTAAACATTCTTATGCAAAATTTCTAGCCTTGACGTTTAATTAATTCTATATATATATATAGTAGCATTTGTACTGAGAGTTGCGCTTAGCCTTGGTTTGACCTTACGTTATACAAGACTCGAAGATCAAGTGCATTTATAATTACTCTTCTAAACTAACACCATCTAACTAAAAACATGGCATGTTAGATGAAAAGTAAAAAAGGCGAGTTATATATGCATATATATATATATATGTATGAATCATATCAGAAATTATTTACAATCTACTAATACTACTTATTATGAATCACTCCTTAGAAATCAATAGTTAACTGTAATTTTTCTTTTTTTTTCAACTTTATGACAGCCAGGAAATAGTCAACGAATGATTTTAGACGCACAACTGGCTTTAGAATGTTTCAGTCTATTCACCCTGACATTATTTGTTATTGAAGTACCATTTAAAATGTGGGCTATGGGTATACGTCAATGGGGTCGTCAGTTATTATTTCTTATCGATGCACTTGTCTGCATTGTCTGTTTCTCATTGGATATATACAATATTTATCGACATGCAATTAATCCATCAAGGATAACAAATGAATCAGTTAAAGTTATTGAATTATGCAATTATATACATTTGACTTTACAAGCTGATACAGCGTCTACATTTGCTGAAATATCTGGTCTTATTATTGTCTATAGATTATGGTATATTAAAAGATACATAAAGAGTAAGTCCATTGTTATTCAGATATTTTTTCATGAAGTTTAAATGATTATTATTACTATTTTATTGCATAACACTGCGTATTACATGTATTATGATTGTAGATTATTTGTTCCCCTTGGTTCCGAATAGAATATGGGGCTTCTTTCTTTTATTCCTTTACGTTCCCAGTGGAACATAGGGCTTCAAGCTAGTGTCCTGAAGTGTGAGTAGAAGTCGTGTTTATTTTTTACAGGATGAGGTTGCTAGTCTCATGCCCAACCTTCTCTCTTTACTAGTCATTACTGGCTTAGCGAGGTAAAGGAGGGCGTCGGTCGGGGATCGAACCCTTAACCACCTGCGTGGTTTGCGAGCATTCTACCGCCGTGCCACCGACGCTTTAGTAGAAGAGTTCCATGTTTCAGCTTGTTTACTGAAGTTCTCTTTAGCTGGCTTCAAAATGGCAGCCTCATACACCCGAACTACCATTTTCTATTCAGATTCCATTAGTCGATTTGATGTAACTTGAATATCTATTCAGTGTGTTTTAAGATCATCTACATTTTTTTGTGCATAATTGTTCAACAGTTGGTTCCTGATTGGTTCGTTACCAGACTTCTTAGTAGTTTATTCTTTGTGACTGACCATTTGATCTTCAGAATCGAATGAAAGTCTACAGAAGCCTGTCGGAAATGATTTACATGACGTTCTTGCCAAGTCTCCGAACCATATAAAAGTATGAGCTTGACATTAGCACTCAAAATCAGAATCATACTCCTAATGTTGATTGCAGCAGATTTCCACATTGACTTCAGACAAATGAAGGTTACTCTTGCTTTTCTGATCCTAAGTGGTCTTGACGTCATCATCTGTGCTGCTGCCTGTGGTTCAAGCTATGCCGCTTAGGTAAGGGAAAGAAGTGACTTCCTTCAAATTTCTCTCCGACTTCAGTATTTTTAATCACTGTGAATTTTATCGATTTAATCGGCAGTGATTGATGGTAGAAATGAAGATCTGATTTCAGGCCGGTTTCGATCCAGCGTCCTCTGAATCAACAGTACGACTGTCTATCAGGTGAGGCATGGGACCTAAATGCTAACCACTTCATCGTTTCACAGTAGTCCTGAAGCGTAATACCCAGATGTCACACGAATGAATGATGCGCTACTGCCCACTTCATTTAGAATTTCTTGCTCAGCTGCCTGTTATCTTGCTAATTCTTATCCCATTACATGCTTACTAGGTAGAACCCAGTCTTATTATTATTTCAGTGTCTATAATTTTTATTTTAATAAATAAAGGCAATGATTGAATGTAACACTCCGTATACCACTGATCGACTGATATGATTCGTTGGATACCACTGATACCATCCTGTAGTGTTCGCTTTCTAGCCAGGCATACTGAACATTGGACGGATATTTCTTTAGTTTGGGGCTGAGCTCATCAGTGTACCAGGTTTGATCCAGGTCAGATACCCGAGTCTGTTCAACACCCTCCCTCCATTTCTACCTAGCTACATGCAGACTGCGAATATGATTTAAAGCCAACGCTGTTTATTACTAGTGATAAAGGTTCGGAATTCGAGTATCGATTAAACTTTAGCAATAATTCTCAGATCGGTACTATTTACAGTCGAAAAATAAGGCTGCTGATGTAATCGGACTTAATCTAATGTTCGCTAAGGAAAGTTTATTAATGTCTTGTATTTTATGTATTATGTAATAATCTTGAATATTTGAGACAATAGTTAACTACTTATTTCATTGCATTTTTGAAGGTATTAGTGTTTTCAGACAATAAATAAGTAAACAGATTTTAATAGCATTTTACAGTCATTATTTTTAGAGCAAAGCGGAAATTTTAAAATGCTACCAATTGCTTTCCTCCGCTAAACAATGTTTGCCAGGTGGACATTTCTACACAGTTTGCCAGAATTCATGACAACAGATATATTATCCAAAATAATTTTTAGTAGTGATATGTTAGGTTTGTAGGCAGATGACTGATTTTAGCGTAGGTAGTGATGTGATCGCTTCGTAGCCTTTCTAGGCTTGGACTCGTCCCATGGTTAGGTTGTGGGAATTCACCGTTGAATGACCTCACCTCCTTAAATAGTAATATACAACTGTTAAGCTGCTCATGACCTTCTTTAGTTTCCCATCTAATGACGGATTAAGACAGAATTCCTAATATAATCTTGAATCTGCAGCTGTCTCGAAGTTAACTTTGATCTTCGTTCTATGCTCATATACATTTTATAGTTCTAGTTGGTTCATCCATCCAACTAGTTGTGAATAGGACCAATGGCATGTTCAGTTAGCAGCCACTTATCAAGTAATATCGTTTTCTTCTCAAGGCATCGTCTAAGTGTCTGTACTAGGAGCCAATATGTATTTACAGACTGAATATCTGGGTCAGATACACGCAATCAACAGAAAGTTCAGCAAACGAATATTTAGCGAAGGGGGTCGTTTTAACTGAGACCCTCTTTAGTCCCTAATGTTGTATCACTATTATTAATCCCTCAGGTTCCGAGTGGAGCACAAGGACTCAGTTGTATATTTTCCCTTTACTCTACTCCCTGCAGTCCGTTGCATTATTGCCCATAAGATTTCACTCCCTCCTCATATAATCTCCTCCATGACACCCTTGGGTCCCCACTAAATTCGTCGTTTTCCATTCGGGTTCCACACCATGGCTTGGATGATGATGCCACTCAACGGCCTCCTCAGAGTATGTCCAATCTATCTCAGCTTTCTTCAGCATAAGTTTTGAACAACAAGTTCTTGGTTTCCTTATGCCTTCTGGCAGCTGTTGATAAAAGTCTGCAGCTGTAATGCGTTCATGTAAGATGCCTTTTATATTGGCGTATAAGTTTGTAGAAATTAAACTACTACATGGAATATTGTTTATTTCAGTTATATTCTATTGTCGGTATTATTAACATCTAGTCAAGTCATATAAAAATTATCTGATTATTTGCTGATGTAACGATTACATCTTGTAAAAATCTACTCATTCAACTGCAAAGAAACAAACTCTCTTCAGAGATCAATCTAAAGGAAACTAACATGGATTGGTCAATACATGAATTTTCATAGATGGGTCCCTTTGAGAAGAACGAGGAATATGATCCACTCTTTATCCTCAAGAATAATAAGGATACGTACCAGTGATACAATCGATCGTGAACTGCAGAGACTTAAACGACTCCTCATGGAAAATAGATATCCTTCAAGAATAATCGAGAAAAACATGAAAGCAAAGCAAAACCCCGAAAGAACCCAGACGGTACCGAAGAAACTGTTATTTATGAAATTTGAGTTTAAGGGTGATACCGCAGCTGAGATTCTGAAAAACCACCTATCCAGACCACTGAGAAAAGCCTTCTCTAAAGCTGAGCTGCATATCAATTTTAACAGCCGCAAAATGATCAATGGATGTATGAAGGATAAACTGCTGCCTTGGGCCACTTCATTGTGTGCTTATAAATTCACCTGCTACTGTGGAGCTAGTTATATTAGCCGCAAAAAGTGCACAATTTGCAAATACATCTAACATTATCCGGCATGGTTAGCAAAAGGAAAATACAAGACAGTTACTTGGTGAATTCTCGAGCACTAGGTGAACTCAAGTCACGCAGCTCCACCACAGTCATCTTTCAAGATCATCTAAAAGGTGAGGCCAAATGATGCAAAGGGTGTTAGGTTTTGGAGTTTGTGTATGGTGAAGGCTCTGGCAATTCATCAATATAATCCCGAACTCTGTGTACGGAAAACATTTGTCCAGTCTCTTATTCTGCTGTGGTCTAGACCTCTTTACTAGTCGTTCCCTGCAAATTTAATTTTTTAAAATTTTGCTTTTATTTCGCTTTTACTTTATTGATCAATTAACTGTTATCACTATCATATGTTCCTTTTGTACATTTTCTCACCCTCTTCACACTTGTTAAATTCACCTTCATTCTCACTTAATAACAATTTTAACTGTATCAAATTTCTAAAGCTTTCTTCCTTTTTACCATTGAGTACTTTTACTTCAAAAGCTACTTCTGAGTAGTTATATCAATTATGTCACCCCTATTACTCAATGATGGACTACTATATATTCTTGGTAAATATAAATATGACTGTACAACCACTAAGGATGATTTCGTCAAGAAATTAAATTTTCTTCGCTGAATTGTCTTCTATTTCCTTGATGACTCAATGGGTATTTTCGGTGACTTGAAACTCACATGTCTTCATAAATCTGTGTAATAATTTAACTGAAAAAATATTTTGTGATCTAGTTTTATCCTATGAAGCGTTACTGATAACTGAAGAAGGTTTTTAAATCTGGTGACTAAATGCCTTTTAATCTGTATCTCCTTATATTCGACTGTTTAAACGTGAATATTTGGGTGAAATGATGAGAAACTGGGCCGATATTACATATCTGCATTCTGAAGTATACAGTTTTATAATGATGAGTCATTCCAGAGATTTGTGTATTTTTTTTGAAAATTACTGTTGCTCATTGCCTGAGCTTTTGGTAGAACAGACGATCTCAACGGTAAATCTTTAATGAACATAGTTCTCTACCATCACCTTAATTTACTCGTGATTGCCCATAATACGTTCTTAAAATTCAGTGAAATGTGTTAAGGGATAAATATAATATTTTAAGTGGGATAGGGTTGGATAAGATAATAGACTTTCTGACCCTTTAGATCGGTAAAACTTACAAAGAAACTGTTTATAGCCATCCAACAACAATCAAATACTGAACCATACGTCATTTTGATTGCATAACATACACTGAAATGAAATGCTCCTGCCTTGCACAATAATGTGAAATTAATTTAATGTTTTAAATTTGCGACTTGCATACTATACAGTTTGAATTGGCAATTCACTACAGCTTCTTTTGGAAACCTAAAATATTCAGATCAGTAAATGTGATCAGCATGATGCCATAAATGGCAGTCAAGAAAGCAGACATAAAATCATGGTGGGATTGATTGATATGATTGACTGGGTA